GTGATGAAGACCTCTTCATCCAAAGTAGCAATGATTATCAGTACCAAGTTGGCTGATTAGTCCAGTATGAGCCCAGGAAGTTTTTTAAGCAGTGCGGACAACAGGTAGAAGCTGCAGTAAGTACGGGATTAGCGATACGGTTCTTTCTAGTCTGTGTTTCTCTGCTGCCTGGCAGGCTTATGCCTTAGGGATAATTGTTAGATACCATCATGGCCAAGGCAAATCAGATATGTTCACATTCAATACAGGGGTGCACGTTTTTAATATCTATGTAAACAGAATATCTAAAGTAGCAGGCTTAATTCAGTCGACCCGGCTTCATGTGATCCTTTTTTTTACGTCACCTGTGGCTGATATGATAGATGTCTGCTGGTTTTTGTACTGGCGAATTAGCCTGCCGTTTATATCCGCTCACTGAGTCGGATCCAGTAATCATTTGCACTTCATTGTGCAGTTTTTTTTTAAACTCTGGTCCGGAGGTTCTGAAGCAGTTGCAATTTTCTATCATTTGGCAGATTTGTGTGTGCTGTTAGAGCACTTTTCTTGTCCTCTGTTGTAGGCAGCATCCTATCTTTGTGAGCCTAAAGCTGGTCTAGTGAATAGGTTTGTCTCTTGTCAAATACAGATATCGCAGAATCATATAGAGCATTTTAGGTGCTTCCATTCTGTCGCTTGCAGCTTGCACCTGCATTTGATGGGCCGATGTGGTGAGAGTGACATTCTGTAAAGGAGAAAGGAAGACTTTAAGCCATGATGTTGTGAGAGTGACGTTCTGTAAAGGAGAAAGGAAGACTTTAAGCCATGATGTGGTGAGAGTGACATTCTGTAAAGGTGAAAGGAAGACATTCAGCCTTGATGTGGTGAGAGTGACGTTCTGTAAAGGAGAAAGGAAGACTTTCAGCCTTGATGTGGTGAGAGTAACGTTCTGTAAAGGTGAAAGGAAGACATTCAGCCTTGATGTGGTGAGAGTGACATTCTGTAAAGGAGAAAGGAAGACTTTCAGCCATGATGTGCTGAGAGTGACGTACTGTAAAGGAGAAAGGAATACTTTCAGCCATGATGTGGTGAGAGTGACGTTCTGTAAAGGAGAAAGGAAGACTTTCAGCCATGATGTGCTGAGAGTGACGTACTGTAAAGGAGAAAGGAATACTTTCAGCCATGATGTGGTGAGAGTGACATTCTGTAAAGGAGAAAGGAAGACTTTCAGCCAAGATATCCTGAGAGTGACGTTCTGTAAAGAACCTGCTGATTTATGAAGATTGTTTTTCTCAGAATTTTCATGATATTCTGGTCACTTATTCTTGCACCTGCATTTGATGGGCCGATGTGGTGAGAGTGACGTTCTGTAAAGGAGAAAGGAAGACTTTAAGCCATGATGTGGTGAGAGTGACATTCTGTAAAGGAGAAAGGAAGACTTTCAGCCATGATGTGGTGAGAGTGACGTTCTGTAAAGGTGAAAGGAAGACTTTCAGCCATGATGTGCTGAGAGGGACATTCTGTAAAGGTGAAAGGAAGACTTTCAGCCATGATGTGCTGAGAGTGACGTACTGTAAAGGAGAAAGGAATACTTTCAGCCATGACGTGGTGAGAGTGACGTTCTGTAAAGGAGAAAGGAAGACTTTCAGCCATGATGTGCTGAGAGTGACGTACTGTAAAGGAGAAAGGAATACTTTCAGCCATGATGTGGTGAGAGTGACGTTCTGTAAAGGAGAAAGGAAGACTTTCAGCCATGATGTGCTGAGAGTGACGTACTGTAAAGGAGAAAGGAATACTTTCAGCCATGATGTGGTGAGAGTGACATTCTGTAAAGGAGAAAGGAAGACTTTCAGCCAAGATATACTGAGAGTGACGTTCTGTAAAGAACCTGCTGATTTATGAAGATTGTTTTTCTCAGAATTTTCATGATATTCTGGTCACTTATTCTGTAACTTGTATATACTGAGTCTATTTGCATGTTTTTTTTTTTTCCTCTGAAAGAATCCAAATGACATTGCCTATGTGTATAGTGGGTATGCACCACTGAGCGTAAGACTGGCCCAATACTTAGCAAGACCAGGATGGAGAAGTATTACAGAAGTTCTGAATTTAATTCCTGGACCTAAGGTGGAAGAAGTTCAACAGATTCCCATGGGGTTGAGAAAGAGAAGTAAGTTCAGACAAGAGCATATATGTCTTGATATTTCAGACTGTGTACTACAAGTTTGTCACTGATTTAGATTTTCCTGTAGTTTGTTTTCTCTTTGTTTACAGTTTACCAAAAAGCACATTAGTTATCCTGCCATCTTGTTATACACTGACTTTGGCTCTTTCTTCATCTTCATTTTCCTCACATTTGAAGAAATAATGCATTCATTCATGGCACTTAGCAGGAGGGTCATCAGCCCATGAAGCCACCCTGTCTTCCAAGTCCACAAAGAGGCAGCAGGAGGGTCATCAGCCCATGAAGCCACCCTGTCTTCCAAGTCCACAAAGAGGCAGCAGGAGGGTCATCAGCCCATGAAGCCACCCTGTCTTCCAAGTCCACAAAGAGGCAGCAGGAGGGTCATCAGCCCATGAAGCCACCCTGTCTTCCAAGTCCACAAAGAGGCAGCAGGAGTAGTAGATCTGTAAAAAAACCCATTGATGAGTGACAGTGACAACGCATGGAAGTGTATTAAGAGACAGAAACAGCGTAGAATGTGCAAGATAACAGATTCTTTCATCTGAGCCCATCTCAAGGACTCAGTTTACAGTTTTTACTGGAGAGTTATGCTGGAAATCTTATTATACACTGACTTTGGCTGGAAAGTCTGGTCGAGGGTTATCAGCCCATGAAGCCACCCTGTTTATAGAAGTGTAGATTCTTTCATCTCAGCCCATCTCAAGGACTCAGAGATTTTGTGGAGAGTTGCTGGAAAGTCTGGTTGTACTAGAAGTGTAGATTCTTTCATCTCAGCCCATCTCAAGGACTCAGAGATTTACTGGAGAGTTGCTGGAAAGTCTGGTTGCTGGAAAGTCTGGTCGTATAGAAGTGTAGATTCTTTCATCTCAGCCCATCTCAAGGACTCAGAGATTTACTGGAGAGTTGCTGGAAAGTCTGGTTGCTGGAAAGTCTGGTTGCTGGAAAGTCTGGTTGCTGGAAAGTCTGGTTGCTGGAAAGTCTGGTTGCTGGAAAGTCTGGTTGCTGGAAAGTCTGGTTGCTGGAAAGTCTGGTTGCTGGAAAGTCTGGTTGCTGGAAAGTCTGGTTGCTGGAAAGTCTGGTTGCTGGAAAGTCTGGTTGTATAGAAGTGTTTAGGTGTGGAATGAACACGGACTAACACAAACCCTTCTTCCACAATGACAGCCGGGCATTTCAGGACTTTTGTTGTCAACATTTGCATTTAGTCTGCTTCTTCTCAGATGCTCAGTTCTTAACTTTTCTGCAATCAATTCTTCCCTCATTCTCATTCTCTTTCTGATGCCCCCCACCCCCCACCACACACACACACACACACACACACACACACAACTCGGTCCATGGCATTGTGTTTCCTACAAACCACCTCAATACCTGCTGTTTCATTCATGTCCCGCTTGCACACATCTTTATATCGTAGTGGATGTCAGCCTCATCATCTTCTATCAGTCTTTAAATCAGCATAGAGTATGTTCTTTGGTCCATTCTGCAGGTGTGACCCAGCCACTTGAGCCTTCGTAAACTGAGCATTGAGAAGACTGTTGTAATACCTGCTCTTTCCAATACCTCAGTGTTTATGATCTTGTCCTGCGACTTAATGTCAAGTATTCTTCATAGACATCGCATGTGAAAGCTGTTTAGCCATTTCTCCTGGTGTGAATAAGTTGACCAAGTTTCACTGCCATAAAACAGAGTGATGAGAACACAAGCCTCATAGACAAAAGATTTTGGGTTTAATTATGAGCTTTCCATTCTCCCAAACTCTTGTTAGTCAGCTTGTTTTTGTTGCTGCCTGACCTTTCCTGATGTGAATTTCTTGGTCCAGCAATAGTTTGTTATACACTGTGGATCTAAGATAGGTAAAATGGTCAACTATTCAGCTTTTCACCATCAGTCTAGACTGCAGGTCTAACACCTTGCACCATAACCTTTGTCTTCTTCTTGTTGACTGTTAGTCCAAATTGACAGCATGCATCAGCAAAGGCAGATAGTAAACATTGCATTCCTCCTCTGAGTGGGGGGTCATTGTTGTTTCATCAAGGCTGCTGTCAGATCGAGAATGTCTGAATAATATCACCCTCCTGATCTTAAAAGGCATGTTTCAAAAGAAGTGAGAAGTATATTCCAAAGAGTGTCGGAGCAAGTACACATCCCGGCTTCACTTCATTGTTGATTACAAACTTCTCTGATATTTCACCATCAAAGTTGATTGTGCCTTTCATGTCTGTGTGAAATGACTCAGTAATATTCAGCAGAGAAGGTAGACACCCAGTGGTCTTCATTGTGTTGAACAGACTTTTTCGACTAACTATCACTGGCTGAAACCGACTGAGGCCAGATCTGGTAGTGATTTCATATTCATTTGGGGACAGTTTGGAACACAGGCAAATAAATGCAGCACAGTGTGTATCTTCAGTGCAAATTGATTCTCAGGTACTGAATAATCTGGTTGTGGAAGTGTCAACTGTGGACACTGAAGTAGTGCAGCACATTGCCATTCCATCTGCCTCATTGGTAAAACAAACACCTGCTACCTATACAATGCATTGGAAGGTTGACAGTAAGAATGAGATGATTGTTTAGTATAGTGAGCCTTGGGTAGATTCAATTCTATGTCAAATATACAATTTGTTCACTTCATATTGATTCAATATTGATGTGCAAATGGATTGAAAACAGTTATCAGAAGAACAAAATCATACACCAATTACAAATAAAATGTGTCTCTGTTTCATGTCAAGAAATACTGGATGTCAATAATAAGTACTTCTTTTTATTAGAACATGACATTTTAGTTTGATTGAGAACATTAGACAGCTTTTTTTTTGGTTTGATATTTTCTCAGGGGCATCGGTCACATCTTCACAGTCTAGCATGGGTGAACAGAAGCTAACTTTGGTGTTGTTTTTGGGTGGAGTGACACAAGCGGAAGTTGCTGCATTCCGGTTCTTGGCCCAGCAAGATGATGGTATGTCTGTAGGTTGTTGCTGATATGTTTATTAGATAAAACATTGTTTGTTTGCTGGGGGAGTTGGGATGTAGGTAATATGTAGATATATATGTATAGATGACACCACCAGTTGGTGGTACACCAAACTGGTGCAGGTACTTCTATTTTTATTAGAACATGACATTTTATTTTGATTGAGACATTAGAAGCTTTTTTGGGGTTTGATATTTTCTCAGGGCACAAGCTGGATCTTGTGAGGGCCCTTTGGGAGTGAGTGGACACATCTGCCGAGGAACAGATAGATCATTATGTTCTGAGGAGAATAGCACTGCGAGGAGTTACAAGGAAATCTGGCTGACGCTCGACACTCAGGGAAAAGGCGAGACAGATATACAATGAGACATTTACTAGTAGCATCGGAATTTTAACTCTTTGCTTGATGCTGAAAATGGGGACCACACGCTTATGGGGGTGTCCTGAATGATGTGATGTCGATTCTCAATTCAACCTTCAAGACATGTATTTATGTGAAGGTGAAAGAAAAGGGGGGGGGGGGGGGGGGGGGGGGGGGGGGGGGGGGGGGGGGGGGGGGGGGGTTGTGGTGTAAATTGTACATTCATAGAACTTTTCATAAGGAAATTTATATACATTTTTTCTGTGAGTTTTTTTCATTGTAAATGCCTTGTAGGTAACATATTAATTAGTAATAGACAGCGGTCTATCATTAGATTCTGTATACATTAGTTTTAGGAGCTGTAGTTGAACAGAGACCAGCACATTTGTGTGTGCTTCAAATCTGGTACCAGCCAGGAAATGTTTGGAGAAGTAAAGATGGTCACCGTGATATTGACCACATCACCCATGGAGCTCTGATTTGTCTAAAATGTGGCCAACATCACGTATCCGGTCTAGTTATCTGCTCATTTTAAAGAATAAGTGAAAAGTAAAGGACCCTTTTCCACACCTTTAGGCGTCTAGGGCATATAGGGCTAGACCTTATATTTTATAGACCAATCGGCAAAACATGGCTGATGTGGTCAGCATCAGCCAGCCGCCTTTACTTCCCAGGACTGCACCCATTAAGCTGGTAAGCTCAGTTGACAAGAAAAATCAGATCAATTTTTATGAAAACACAAAACAAATTACCACCAAGCAAAATATATCCAGTATCCCATTAAATTACTGCCACAACATAACATGTACATGAATGCTTCCAGATTTCTGGATTCCAGCACATAACCACTGAACATTTCCTCAGTCAGACAAATCCACATTATGCTGTGTGAGGTCATGATTAGCACATATACTGACATAATGCCTGGACACATAAATATACCCACGTATTGACATTATGCCTGGACACATAAATATACCCACATACTGACATTAGGCCTGGACAAATATAAATATACCCACATATTGACATTGTGCCTGGACACATAAACATACCCAGATTGTGTTTTCTTGATCCTGAGTGTTCAGGAATGTTTAAACTTATATCACGATGCTTCTGAACCTGAGATTATGGGTTGTTGTCTGACCTTCTTGTAGCCCATACAAATGGACATTGATTGTCATGTCAGTCCATAACTTCCTGTCTCATGTAGCCCATACAAATGGACATTGATTGTCAGCCCATACAAATGGTCATTGATTGTCAGCCCATACAAAAGGACATTGATTGTCAGCCCATACAAATGGACATTGATTGTCATGTCAGTCCATAACTTCCTGTCTCATGTAGCCCATACAAATGGACATTGTTTGTCAGCCCATACAAATGGACATTGATTGTCAGCCCATACAAATGGACATTGATTGTCAGCCCATACAAATGGACATTGATTGTCATGTCAGTCCAGAACTTCCTGTCTCATGAATAAGCTATCATGTATGGATGTTTCTTTATGCCATACAATCAATCAAAGTGTCTAGTAGCTCCTCAGTGAACCCGCGTGCATGTCTTTAGTTGACTTTTCTGTTGATACTCTTATATTTGCTTATTTGTTTAATGGTTGCTCATGCACGTAGTTGCATATTTTAGTCCAGTGATGAAACACTCACATTGGCATGTGTTTATTTAGTTACAGACTGATTCTTATTCTTTCAATATGCTTTTGTAACCAAATCAATCAAGGGAATCATCTTTTGGGAATTGAGACTTGAGATGAAATATAATTACATTACATGATTATTTTGTTTGTTTTGCAACTACAGATACCAACATTGTGCTTACCCATACTGAACATATTCTTACAGAAACATTGATTTGCTTAGTGGCTCAAAATAATAGCATGCTGTGAACAAAGCTTGAAGTCAAACTTGTCCTGCTGAAATTAATTGATGTGAATGTGCAAATTCCTATATATTTGGTTTAAATTAGGACACCTCAGTGCTGTACATGAGTATATAGTTGCAACTACACGCATTATCACTGGAGAAACACTCCTGCAAGAACTGTTGGATGTGAAACGCTATGGATCTAGTGGCACTCATTTCTGCTAATTAACTTGTTGGATTTTCTTATAGGTGATTTGTATCAACTGTTTGACCCTTCCTCTCCTTTCCCAGCAAACTAACTTCCTCATCTTGAGCCTTTGTTTAGAGACTAATATTTGTACAAATGGGAACCAAACCTCATCATTTGAATGTACAGCACTGCCATAAGGATGACCTGTAGTCATTGTGAATGTACAGGACTGCCATGAGGATGACTTGTAGTCATTGTGAAGGTACAGGACTGCTATGGGGATGACTTGTAGTCATTGTGAATGTACAGGACTGCCATAAGGATGACTTGTAGTCATTGTGAATGTACAGGACTGCCATAAGGATGACTTGTAGTCATTGTGAATGTACAGGACTGCCATAAGGATGACTTGTAGTTATTGTGAATGTACAGGACTGCCATGAGGATGACTTGTAGTCATTGTGAATGTACAGGACTGCCATGAGGATGACTTGTAGTCATTGTGAAGGTACAGGACTGCCATAAGGATGACTTGTAGTCATTGTGAATGTACAGGACTGCCATGAGGATGACTTGTAGTCATTGTGTATGTACAGGACTGCCATGAGGATGACTTGTAGTCATTGTGAATGTACAGGACTGCCATGAGGATGACTTGTAGTCATTGTGAATGTACAGGACTGCCATGAGGATGACTTGTAGTCATTGTGAATGTACAGGACTGCCATGAGGATGACTTGTAGTCATTGTGAATGTACAGGACTGCCATGAGGATGACTTGTAGTCGTTGTGAAAGTACAGGACTGCCATGAGGATGACTTGTAGTCATTGTGAATGTACAGGACTGCCATGAAGATGACTTGTATTCGTTGTGAATGTACAGGACTGCCATGAGGATGACTTGTAGTCGTTGTGAATATACAGGACTGCCATGAGGATGACTTGTAGTCGTTGTGAATGTACAGGACTGCCATGAGGATGACTTGTAGTCATTGTGAATGTACAGGACTGCCATGAGGATGACTTGTAGTCATTGTGAATGTACAGGACTGCCATAAGGATGACTTGTAGTCATTGTGAATGTACAGGACTGCCATAAGGATGACTTGTAGTCATTGTGAATGTACAGGACTGCCATAAGGATGACTTGTAGTCATTGTGAATGTACAGGACTGCCATAAGGATGACTTGTCATTGTGAAGATACAGGACTGCCATAAGGATGACTTGTAGTCATTGTTGTGAATGTACAGGACTGCCATGAGGATGACTTGTAGTCATTGTGAATGTACAGGACTGCCATGAGGATGACTTGTAGTCATTGTGAAGGTACAGGACTGCCATAAAGATGACTTGTAGTCGTTGTGAAGGTTCAGGACTGCCATGAGGATGACTTGTAGTCATTGTGAATATACAGGACTGCCATGAGGATGACTTGTAGTCGTTGTTAATGTACAGGACTGCCATGAGGATGACTTGTAGTCGTTATGAGTAAAAACAGGAGTAAACAATAACTATATTGGGATAAAAGCTAAAACTGGCAGGTAACATCACCACATTAAGGCTTTTGCAACAAATTTCCAGCACCTTGTCTCTTGACCTGGTTGTACCTTTTTTTAAACTACTGTTTGTCCATTACTTGTATTGCGCTTTGCGTCATGCTCACCCTCCAGCTTTTCCCCTCTTTGTGGTTTTTTTTTGCTTTTGTAAGAGTTTTGTGTCTTTTATTGTAGCAACATTTTTTCATTTGTTTCTTTTTCATCCATTGCTATCGATGTAGAGCTTTTAAGTGTCATCAATCCATGTTCTCCTAGGGCAGCCTCTTGCTTTCACTTCAGACCTTTTCTTGTGTAGCACCTGCATTGCTAGTTGTTCTGGCTAAACCATTTGATCTTCTGTTTCTCAATGAATTTCAGTCTATTACAACTCCAAGGTATTTGAACTAGTTGACCTGCTGCAGAGCATACTGTCCCATTATAATCTTATGTTTCTTCTCCTCTATTGAGATCACCATGGTTTTAGTTTTGGAGATACTGTTGGTCATCCCTGTCTTCTCAAGCTCTTCCTTCCAGACAAGTAAGTTGGATTAAAGATATGCCTCTGATTTAGCTATCAGGGCCACATCGTCTGCAAATACCCTGATATATAGATTATTCTTATCTTCCAGTACCCTACAGAGTTCTTCTTTATCTTCTCCTTACAAGTCATTATGACATTATCCATCATAAAAATGGAGAGGTAAGGTGAGAGAATATCACCTTGTCTAACACCGCTAGTGGTCTTAAATTCTTCTGACTTTTGGTCTGCTGTTCTTATAACATTTCTGCAGCTTGTGTAGAAACTGTATTGCATTGATCAGGGCTGCGAAATATTTTTCCCTGCCAAGCAGTCCCAGAGCTAGCTCCAGGGAACCTGATCAAATGCCTCTTCTAGATCCAAAAAAAAACAGGTGCATTTCACTCTTATATTTAAGAGCTTTTTCACTCATCTGTCTGAGCGTGAAGATAAGGTCTCAAGCACTTTGGTTTGCTCTGAAGCCGCATTGGGCC